AATTAACAATTAATTTAAAAAAAGAATAAGGAAAAATGGGAAAGATTAAAGAAAAACACATCACCCTGCTCTGTGGCAGGGAACATTACAAACAGTGTCTCTGGATGTTAGGGCACTTCACAGTCTGTTCCTTGTAGGTCCCAGGTCTCCTTCGTAGGCCCTGGCTGTGCTGCAGGGATGCTGCAGGTTGAACACTTGCAATGGTGGTGGCCACACACCTCCGGGCTTTAGGTGGTGGGACCCTTCTTCCCAGTGTCAGCCCCCCGTCGGGTTAAGATTCCCCCTCCCAGTCCAGCCTACAAGGACCCTTGGCTGGGGGTGTCTTTCTGCGCTGGGCCCTTTGCCCAAGGTCCCCCCTTGGCTGGCCCCAGTTGCTCACCACACTTGCCTCTGTGGCTTCAGCTCTGCTCCCAGCACAGGATCTGCTCTCCCTGGGCCATGTCTCTGGTTCTGTGGCTGCAGCTCTGCTCCCAGCACTGACCTGCTTCCTGGGCTGCTTTTCTGGCCCCTCTGGATCTGGCACAGCTCTGTTCCCTAGCTCAGCTTGGGCCCCTGCTTGCTCCTTAGCTCGGCCCCACTCTGTCTGACCCAGGCAATTCCAGCTCACATGGAGGACGGGACCCATCCCCTAGCCTCCTGACTCCCTGGTTAGCCTGCCCGCCCTGTCAATCAGGCTGACTTGGAGCATTGGCCTCTCCCCGTTGTTCCTGGGGTCTGTCAGTCTCAGGGTCTTGATTTCCCACCGACCCTTCCCCTTTTAGTGCTGGGAGCTAGCCAACCAAAACACCCCTCCTGAATATTAGTAAGGGGACAACAGTCCCCTTACACAAATAAAACAAAACAAATACATTCTACTGACTGAAATTTAATTTCAGCAAGTTACAATCTTTGTCTAAACAGATTTCTCACTTACATCAAGTTTCCAGCAGCTCTTGCCTTTCAGGCCACGAAGATTCAGCCTTCATAGGCTCAGAGCATGATGTACCCTGTCGTCCCCTCAGTGATGGATAATTAAAAGGTCTTTTTGCTTCCCTTATATTGCTCAACGTCCATTATCTCTGCCTCAAGAGCCAGGAAGGCTTCCTGGTGTGCAGATTCTGTCCCCTGGCATTATTGTTAAACAGGCTTCTCCCCGCTTAGTTTAGTTTGATGGCTTTGTTTACTTTATATGTAAATATGCTTCTATACTCCTGTGCCTATAACTAAATCAGTAAGACAGGTAAACACACATTCCTTTGTGTAGGGCACACTAGATTCATGCACTGCGTCCCAAACACATTTTAAGAACATATTTTCAGCGCCCATCTAGAACTTTTCGTATAGAATACATACATACATTACACAATTATTTTTGGGACCAGCATGTCACTAGTTTATATATGGAACCTTACATGATACCTTTGTGATATATATTGTGATAACAGTACGTTGGGGCACAGCCCTGATGAGAGTCATGGTATGGTGTGCCCTCTACCAGCTGGTATTGAGGGGCTGTCAGGGTCACAGATGGTGGGGTAAAGTTTGACCAGTTCTGTCCTTGTTCTTACTGTGCTCCTGGTCTTGTTCTTACACTAGACCCAATCCTAGGGTTACCATACGTCCTCTTTTTCCCGGACATGTCCGGCTTTTAGGCAGTCAAACCCCCGTCCGGGGGGAATTGCCAAAAAGCGGAACATGTCCGGGAAAATGGCGGCTCTGTTTAAGAGCCCGGCTGCCCGAAGCCGGTAGCTCTCGGGCAGCCCCGGTTCTTAAACAGAGCCTCCAGCGGCTGGGGCTTTGTGTAACTGACACTGTG